GTTGTTGACTGCTTTTGGCCAGTGCCTATTAATACAAGCTGATGTCACTGCTGCGTTCTACCTCTTTTTCTCCCCATAGTCATATGTCTGATCGTGTAATGAAATGCCGTCTTTAACTTTCTCATAATATTTAATTCTTCCTGTTCTTTCATTTACTGTTATCATAAAGAATCTCCAGTGGAAAAAAAAATTGGCAAAGTGTAGAAAGCTCTTTATTATTCACAGTAAATATACAACGTGTATTTTTTTATAAAATAATTATGTCTAGGTATCTCCACCTGGTTTTGGAATATTTACACAGATAAATCTAATTTGATGTCTGTGATTTTAAAATACTTTGTTTATAGGCATGTGTGACATATATGTACTAATAAAAGTAATAGTTGATTTAATTTACCTGTTGTAATTGAAAATGCATGTAGCATATTGCATTTAAAATTAATTTTGATACTAATGAAAGGAGGGAAACAGGTTTATTAGATATGTTCAAACCCATATTTTTTGCTTGTAACGTAATTATTAAATTGATTGCTCAGATAGGAACAAATTGGTGTTTAAAATCCTGATTCTGCTATGTTTCCTCTTCTAAAAAGATTGTCTTTTAATGCACTTCCAAGCTAATAAGCCTTATAAAATTCTGTACTTGATCTTGAATTACTTTTCACCGATGGCTACACCTTACGAAAGTACGAGCTTGTTGTTAGTATAAAAATATCAATCATAAAACGAAGACCCCAAAACAGCCTTTTAAAGTAAATCACTGCAACAAAAAAGTTTTTCTTGTCAGCTCTGGCATTTGAAGGTCTGGAGAGGCTGAAAGTTCATTCAGTGTGTTGGTACAAAGCGGGACTCGAGCCTGTTGATAATTGCTCCTAAAGACAAACGTGAAGGCACCTGACACAGCTGGATCGAAGAGAGCTTTTGTTGGCTGTCTGTGCTAAGAGGAGAGACAACATAGAGTGCTCGCAGATGATTTAAGTAGGGTTGGCGTGATAAGGTTATCTCAAACTGCAAGAGTTGATAGGGCAGTAAGAGACAACTTAGAGCAAAGCTGTGCAATCAATTAAAACTGTGTAATATATGCTGCATGAGGAAACCCCCCAGCCCTAAGTCTATATTATAAAATAACATTATTTTTTTGGGGTGGGGGGGTTTCTAACACAGTAGGTTACAGTCGCAACACAAGCAGTGTTTCCCCGCGAGGATATGTTCCCAGCAGTACTCCTCAGCAGTCCAATTACAACACAGTCAGCAATAGCATGAATGGATATGGCAATGCCGGCATGCCCAATCTAGGTGTACCAGGTTCCCCTGGATTTCTTAATGGCTCCTCAGCTAACTCTCCTTATGGCAGTAAGTGTCTATTTTTGGTAACACATCATCATATAGATTCATATTTACTACAAAATCAAATACTTGCATTGTTTTGATTTCCTATATTGTGAGCTACTGGATAAAAGGAGGGGTGACTCTGGAGGCTGGACGAAAAAATGAATATAATAAATTGATCTGTTTGTGCCATAATACAATCTCAGATAGAAAAAAAAAAATGTGACTGCACAATTTGTAACAAAAGTCCAACACAAAAGAGTTTGCCTGTTATCCAGAGAGTGGCCAAGCCAAGGCATTTCATTTTTTTTTTTTATATATATTTTTTATATATATATATATATTTATTTTAAGAGGCAAGGCCCTATCACTCTCTTTTTCCATGTTTGCCGTGAAAACCTCAATCTGAGTCCTGATTATTTTTGCTTTATTGCAGTAGTGCCGTCAAGCCCTACCATGGCAGCCTCTTCGGTCACCCTCCCTTCAAACTGTAGCAGTACACACGGCATTTTCTCATTCTCACCTGCCAATGTCATCTCTGCAGTGAAACAAAAGAGCGCCTTTGCTCCTGTTGTCAGGCCCCAAGCCTCTCCTCCACCATCTTGCACCAGTGCAAATGGAAATGGACTTCAAGGTGAGCTGGATCTCTCTCAATTTTCTGTGTATTGCTTTTTTGGTGCATACACTCAAGCCTTGATCGTTTATTTCGGAGAAAGGTACCTCACTATATTTTTGGGTTTCTGGTGCTCTCATAGTGAATGCAAAAGCAGGAGAAGAAATAGGGTAGCACGAATGGTATGCTAAGATTTTAAGCAAATCTTAGTACACTTTTAATACTTGCATTAGAGAAAACTGGTTGTTTTTCTGGCATTTTCCCTTAGGAGTTTGTGCCTTAAATTTTAAAGTAAGACTGTATCCCTGAATGCGTCTCGGAGGTTTTGTGTACTTCTTGGCGTTTATAAGTTTTCTGAACACATTTCTATGGATGTTTAAAACCAGCAGCACTCCAGCATAATGTGGTGAGATTTCCTCATTTTACATATGATGCAATAGTTATTTGAAAGTAAATCAAATTAGTGTGAATCAGGTTAAGCTCTTACTCAGTGCACTAACCTTCCCTTGGACTAGCTAGCTGCTTGTGCAGTGAGTTAGTTTGCATGCTTTGTTGGTCCCAACTCACTCTCTTACTGTGGTGTTAGAGTGGATACTTCCCTAAATGAACAACTAAATATTTTAATTAAGGCAGGCAATTTTAAGCTTCTGCATTTCTTCAATCTGTGTGATTTTGTGTGGGTAGTGTAATGAACAATTTATAAATCAGTTGCAGAATTCCCATGGTCATCTGCTGGTAGTGGGACAGGAGGCATTATGATACAGCGTATGTTTGGTGGAGAAATAAAAATATGAACAAAGAAGATTTCCTTTGTACAGCATATCTTAACTTTTAGAAGATAATATTGTCAGATGCATTAGAATCATTTAAAAGGTTTGTTTGCCTCCAATTTACAAATCACAAGCCTCGTTGCACAGTGCAGTAAATTGAAGGACTTCAAATCCCATGCGAATCAGAAAGGCTTGCAGACACTCTTACCCTGGAGGTCATCACTCCTCTTGACTTTCTTTAGGTAAGATGTAGGTAGTGCAGTATTATTTATTCTTTGTATTGCCATGATATCCATAATGTGATGAACTCTCACAGGCAAACAGATGAAGACAGATATTTTGATTTGCCCAAACTAATTCTGGACACCTGCATTTTGTGCTATATCTAGCTTAAGGCACTTTGGAGAGACAATCCCACAGAACTGCCTGTCCATGAAAAATCCAGGCCATTTGAGACCAGGATCTCAAAATGGATGTCCCTGTACCTTGTTAATAACTTCTTGGCCCAAACAAGCATCTGAGAGCTTATTATGCACTCAGGTCAATGAAAGGCTGAGGATCCAGCTACGCAAATCTTATTGTAGGATGAATGTTAAAGAAAAGGATAATTAGATTAACAATTTCTGTCATTACATATGTCTTTAGTGGAAGCTTTACTATGTTAACTGTAAGTAGAAAACTATACCAGGTATAAGCAATATTCTTAGAAAAGATTATCCATTCATAAAATAATCCAGTGTCCTACTTTCCTCTTCTTATAAAAATACACTAGTATAAGAAGTAAGTACTGAAATAAATAAATAAAATAAAATAAAATAAAATAAAACAAAACAAAAAAATGAAATGAAATGAAATGTGGTAACACATGGCTTAGATCTGAACAGCTATTCTGTAGCTAGTCTGTAGCAGATATGTATGTGTATATTCTTATTAACTTGTTGATACTGCTTTACTCTGAAAAATAAAATTATTTAAAGATCTAAATTAAAATTATCCAAATTTCTGTAATTTTAGTATGTAAATAAAGGACTTCCCATCAGATGTTCAAGGTTTCAGGTGTTTAAGAGATCTAGATTCCTGCAAAGTGGGGTTTTCAGAACTGGGCAGGCTAAATGCCCAATTCCCAGCAAACACCAAGCACCCAGTCTCCCTTGGCACCTCCCCAAACCCCCAGTAACCACAGGTCTTCATCCTCAGGTACAAAATGCCTGGTAGACGACTTCAGATCAACCAACACTGATTTTGTTGAATAGGTCGTGAAGTTAGCTCTTAGGCTAAGGCCCAACCCTGCTCTGGACTAAGCTTCTTCCGGGCCCAGACAGCCCACTGAAGGCTTAAAGGTCCCTTCAACCCCTGATTTTAGGATGCTGCAATCCAAGCAGCAGTCCTGGTGTCATCCCTCACGAAGTCCAGCATCCCGTGGGTATTACAAAAGCTCTAGGTTAGGTGTCCCTGAGACCTGCGCTGCTGCCCCACCAGGCTGTCCCTACCCCACTGAGCACTCAAAACTTGTGAAACACGGAGGTATCCAGATGTAGCGATGTTCAGAAACTTCGGGTTTTGATTCAGCAGCCAAACTGAAAAGGAATAGAAGTGTTGGGGGAAAAAAAATTGTCATGTTTTCCTCACCCAGCTGAAGCAGCTAAACTGAATCATTTTGTGTTGAGCAAAATGACCCAGAGAAATACCAAGAATGTCTTTCTGGTCTGGTAATTAGAGCACTGAGTTCCAGGGTTGTGACAAAAAGTTGAATTATTTATGCAAACTAACATGGCACCATGAGGTGATGCTCTGTATCGTGAGAGTTAGGGTACTGTAGTGAAAGGCAAAATATGGGGGTTCAGGTCCCCTTGGGCTGAGGAGAAAATCAAATTGCATCTGGCATATCCTTGGTGAGTTCCTTTATCATCACAGCAGAGAGGCACCATCATTTTTTCCAACCAAAGCTATTGAGTTAATTCAAACTGAACTCATGAAAGGCTTTGGGATGACAGTACTTCACCCAGCTGTCCTCACAGATCTCAACCAGTGCCTTGAACTGAATTGCAGCCAGAATTGAGTGGCAAGATGGGGATGAATTTGTCATATGCTTCCTTCATGAGACGTCATAAAGAAAAGCCAGCAATGCAGGAGATACTTATTTACCCTGCATTTTACCTGTACAGTTATTTAGGGGGGTTCTGCTTCCTCCTTCCTATTTTCTTAGTCATTTGTTGTCATTGAGCCCTTTTTAAAGTTTAATTAGTTGCTTTCTGAACGCTGTACAAGCAGCTCGAGAGTTTTCTGATCAGCACATTTTTTACATTAAATTATGGAATTCAAGAGCTGCAGTCCAACTCAGCTGAAGTTTTTCAGTGATCTTCAAGTACAGAGCCTCGTCATACAGCAGGATGTGAATGAGCTGAGTGACAGCTGAGGAGCCTGCACTGTTAGGAATGGTCACATACATTTAGTCAAGCCAAGATAGAAGCAAGAGCTCATGGTCACTGTCATTGTATCTAAGGTAAATCCTGCAGTCTATGAATCTGGATAAAGAAGGGATGACGTGCTCTTTTAATCACAGGGCAGGATATCCTTTCTCTTGTTGCTTGTTATGTTACCTTTCCCCACATAAGCTCTGTTCTGAAATAAAAGCCCGTTGGATAGTTTTCAGGGAAGCTGGTTGACCCCGCTATGGCAAGGCATCGCACACCAACACGATGGGGCCGGGCAGCCCAGTTTTCCCTATAAAGGTTTGTTAGCACTGTGCAGAGGCAGAGGCAGGTGAAAGTATGGCAAAACCTGACATGTAACAGCCCTGCAGACACAGGTAGTCCTTTTACAGGGATCTGGGGGTTAATTGCACTGATCCTTGCTGCGTAAACCACTGTAGGATTTGCCTGTGTGTGGAAAAAAAGCTGTTCTTGGTACATCTAAGACGGTGAGAAAGCAGGAGCATAACTATGGAGCTCCATTTGGACCTCAGATGGAGAGTTTTGTCTTGTAACATAGTATAAAGCAGAGGTAGAGCTGCTCTACCTTCTGGATTGTGGTACCATCACCCTAACCATCAGGACTACCTAAGCCCACCACACTAGAAGCAAGATCTTGCTGCTAGTAAGCATGCCCCAAAAAGCCACTCTGCATTTTAGGACTTACTGCTCAAGAGTGAACATGGAGAGGCCTATAGCCAATAAGGGGATCCACTTTTTTCTAAAGAGATCCAGGACAGAGGTTAAGAAGAAAAGAAAAAGAGTAAAAAAGAAGACAATCTGGGGAAATCTCGGAAAGGTCAGCATGCAGGCAATGCCAGGCAGAGCTAACATGTAGTCTTCTTCCTTGCTGCATTCGTATGCCACCCCTGTCAGCTGCGCATCCATCCTCAGCCAACTGATACCCTCATTAGGGTCAAAACTCGGAAGCAGCAGCTCGCAGAGGAGATACCCCTCTCTCTGTTGTCCCGTGGGTATGACTCACTCCTGTAAGTCTACAAAAAAGGGCCTTTGGACCGTATCCAAAAAGCCACAATCTTGTTAACTCTGTATGACTTCCATTGCGTAGTCTATGATCAGAAAGTTAAGTACTTACACATTTTTTTTAAGAGCAGGATGCAAGCGTATGGGTTCCTTAGGGCAGAGGGCCTTTTACTGTTTAAAACAATGGACATTTAAGGTATAAAATAATTTTTTTAGTGAGAAAGTTCTGGCTTGCTGCAAAGTTTGAAGTACAATATGTGTTCAAAATTTGGTTTTCAATTGTAATTTACTTTTTATAGATTGTGAAAGATATTGCTCTCTGCTTATGACTGTAATGCAGAGCAAAAGGTTCTCTATATTCTTTTAAATTGTATCCTGCTTAATTTTCCGGTCTTCCCCTGGATGAAACTATTAAAGTTATTATTACAAAACTAGCCACCCCATTTTTCTTTAAGAAGGCATTTGGTATCAATTTGCACAGCAGGAAACGTAGTGCAGAAATTCACAATTGTCAAAGGTTGCTACTAAAATAAATAGTGAAATAAATGTCTGGAGCACCAATTTTGCACCCCCCTTCTCATTGTGCCACAGATAGAATTCAACAAATATGGCTAAATCTCTTAAATTAAAGAATTCAGACTTTTTTTCCCCAGAAAAGTATGTAGCAGACAACCTAGATTTTCACACAGCAGAAACCAAACGCGAGATTACGATAAACGTGTGATCAAGATGTGCAGGGTATTAGTACCAAATAATGATGTGCCATTTATTAAGGTATTTGTGCACGCAACCTCTGGAAGAAAAATCTGGACTTTTTTTTCTGCTAAGTTATTCTTTCAAGAAGCAAATGTCCAGATCAGTCCTGGACTTTTGCACTTTGCTTAGCATGCTGGCAGAGCATGTTTCGTGCTGGCTCCGAGACATAGCCTTTAGGTCTCACCATCACCTGGACATAGAGCGTGATGACAGATCACTGCTCAACCTGAACCCAAAAAGATGGGAAGACCCTATATTTTGGGTTGACCTGTGGTGATCTTGATGGCTAGGGCAGCTGAGGGTTGTATTGCAGCATAGCAGCACCTCAAAATGAGCTCCCGTGTACCCCAGTTCAGGTGCACCCTAGGAACCAAATCTCTCTGGGGCTGCCTGACGTGGTGCCAGGCTTCCAGATTTAGTGGAAACATGATACGGAAACTAAATGTTTTGGGTAGAGAGGGTCTCTGCCAATATATGCGCTATTCTCCAGTTAAGTTTGGTAACTTCGGTTGCTGTTTAGGTTTAAAATACGTCATATTATAAACCATGCAAAATTATAACTGCCATTTTAATTTTTACATATTTGATATGTCTAATCGGGGGAAAAAAAGTACCAGAGTTAGAAAACTTTAACCTGTTTCAAGAGCATCACTTGAGATGTGTTTTGGAGAGATATATTCCCACACAAGTCCTTTGCATCAGCTTGCACAGCTGCCTACGGCGCCTGCTGGACCACAACTGCTCGGGGCTCTCGTCGCAGCCGTTGGAGCAATTCTGGTCTTGCAGACTGCGCTACTGGCTGCTGTAGGAGGCTATGTTACGTATGAAATGTGTATGTACCCAGCTTTTCCAAACCGTAAAGCTGTAACAGCGAATCCGAAATAAATTAATATTGTTGAAATTAATGAACTGAGAAATTGAAGTTCACATCACTACACGAACAGATTTATTAATATCTGTTGTACATAAATTAATGAGAAATATCATTATGGCAAAAATTAAACAACACTAAAATTAAAGACTGCCTAAATTATGTTTCTACCAAAGAGTTAACCAGGAAAAAAGCAGTAGTTGTTGGCATCTCAGTCTTTATCTGTTATAAAAAAAGGAGATGGCTGGTCAGGGATATTAATCTCGTGCCTTTTTATGGCGCTTGGTCTCCAGAGTTGAGAGCAGGTGTAGGGTACTTGGCTTTGGTCTTTGAGAATCCTTGGCTTGCTCAGCCCGGCTGTTATCATAAAGTACAATCATGGAAATGGAGGTTTTCAGTCCAGGTACCAGGCCTGGGCATGAAGCGGTGGTTGGTGGGGTTCCCGCTGCGGGGACGTCCCCGAGTGATGCCTGACATGACGAGGAGCGACCGTGGTGTTCCTCAGCTGTCAGGAGCCTGGCCCCCGCCTCGCTCTTAGCCCTGCACTGGGAGAGATGCCGCGCGCGCGGGAGTCGGGATGCTCTGCGCACAAAAACCCGCTCAGAGCCTCCTTCCACAACGTGAAGCCCTTGTGGAGTGTTTCGCTGGGAGAAGCACGTGTCCGTGGTCCCTTGGTCAGAGGATGCTGTGGTGCAGCGTGGAGGAGCCTGGGTCTGCAACCGCCCGCCCTGTCCCGCTCCCGGCCAGTGCCGAGCATCGCGGTCGCTTTGAACCAGATGTGCCTTACACAAGCGTGCTAATAACGGCTGATTTTTCTTCTCTTTTTCTTTTAGCTATGTCTGGGCTTGTAGTCCCGCCAATGTAAAGTCACTTTTGTTTACCTACCGTAGCACCAAGCTTCAGAGGATGGGCTTAGGGGACAAGTTTAGTATATTAAGACATGCTGATGGAAACAGTATCTTCACACAGAATCAGCAACAAATCGAAATGCTACAAAAAAAAAAAAAAAGACTTTGTTTAAAGATTTTATTTAAACTATTAAGAATCTACATGCAAACAGCCTACTTCTTCATGAACAATTCCATTTTATTGACTGAATTTTTCTCATATTTTCACATTTCTCAGTCCTGAAGAATAAGGAAAAATCGACGCCTATTTTGTATAAAGTTTCTGATTACGTCTTGGCTATGTCTAGTACTTGCTATGTGTTGGGAGAAACTTTGTGGATGCACCATTTTGATTATCATGAAACACTGATGAAAAATGCCTCCGAACATTTTTCTGTACTCATAACTAGATTCACAATGGTTGTGTATCTCTATAATGTGAAATATTTTTTTGTGGTGGAAAAAAGGGGGCCAAGGAGGTTATGAGCCATCAAACTGGAAAAAAAAAGGATGAATATATGATTAGAAAAACAAAAGCCGGGGCGCGGGGGCGGGCGCGGGAGGGTTTATCATTGCTTAACTTCATCTTAATGAAATGGAACTTTGTAACTTATTGTAGTTAGAAATTGTAACTTTGATATTGAATTCTCTTGCCTTCAACAAGCACACTGACAGAGAAAAAAATTGCTACTGTCTGTTGGTAAAAAAAAATATACTTCCACTGCTAGAGCTTCCTGTTAAGCAAGTGTGATCTGCAACATTTTTTCAACTTTTGCTAGCACTGTATACTATTGCATTCTTAGGCTACTGTGAAGTCTATGTTTCTTGTACCAGAAAATTGTCCTTTTGACTTCTAGATCCTTCTTCCCTAATGTGTTTTGTATGTGGTTATAAAATTGTAGACTTTTGTGATTTTGCCAAAGTTGTAGCTAAATATTTATACACTTGTCTTGAATTTTTTTCAGATCCACTTAAATATTTAGAAAAGCAAATTTTATTCCTTATGAAGCCTATAAGGAGTAAAATAGTCTTATTCATTGCAACACTTTCTTTCACATAAACACTTGCAGTCACTAAGGGAATTTATTTTGTAACATATCAACTATAAATATTGTATTTATCTTTGAAATTTTGTATATTGCTTTTCATCATTTTTTTTTCTTGTATGTATTGGTTTTTGTCATGGCCTGGTATTGTGATGCTGAGAATAGCATTAAGCCAAGAACTGTTGCCTTCATGTTTTTCTTTTAAATAAATTAGTGTCCGTACATTTCATTTGTACTTCATAAAGTTGCTATTATTTAGACTTTCCATCCTTTTTTTTTTTATTTTTGAGGAAAAGTCAAATTCATTGTTTATTTTTATATTATTTTTAAGTTATCAGAACAAATAATTTTGAAAAAAAAGTTGTTTGTTGTATAGTCAAATCAAAATTGTGCCACATGGCTGTAATGAATACTAGTAGAATATGTGCATGTGATACAGCCACAAAAAAGATGACTCTATTTTGTGGTTGCATTTCTGTTTTTTTTCTTTTGTTTTCTTTTTCTTTTTTTTTTTTTTTTTTTAAAGATTGTAAAAAGTCTTTTTAGCTGCCACCCATGACTTTGCCACATAGCTGAACTGTGTTTACTGGAAAAATTCAGAGGCCTAAAGTTTAAAATAAATTCACTTCTGATGTTTTGATTAAAATGTTTGCCACATTAACTTCTCTGATGCCTTAAAAGTGAACTTCTTTGAAGAACTTTTGTGCTATTTTATCACAGGCTTACACCACAATTGTTAGTCACTACTTCATTTGGATTATTTCTGGTGTAAAAAAAAAAAAAAAAAGCACAAACCTGGTGTACAACTATATCACTCCTTTATGTGTCTATTTTCTGCTGCACTCTGCATTCTCCCGAACCCTGCACTGTTTAAAAAAGATAAAGGTTTCATGTGAAATCAGGATCATACATAATTTTTAAATGTTTGGGGTTTGTTTATTTAGGTTTATTGGTTTTTTTATGGAACTTTTTGTAACAGACCCGTAGATGACTGTACTTTTTAAACTGGAATGACCTCCATCGTATATCGTGGCTGTTAGTACCAAATCCATAGAGACAAATGTGGAGTTTTTTTTACTTTGCACTAAATAGGTTGCAAACGCAGCACTGCAAAACATGTTGCAAACTGCAGCAGAATTAAATTTTTAACCAAAAAGGAGGGATTTTTTTTTTTTTTTTTTCTGGGCAAAAATGCACATTTTAGCAAAGCATTTATTAAAGGGTTTAAAAGAACGTTACAGCGTATCACAGCTGATAAATGCCACGCGCATTTCCTTTGTGATAGCGAATAAGGCTTAGCTAAGTGGAAAAGCCTGAGAAGTCACTTTGGAACTGAATTGCCTCCGTTATATTTTGTCTAAGTAAGGTTTTGCTCTAAAGAAGAGGTCACGTGTACATGTTAAGAAAGTTTGCAAGTTTCTTCATAAATGCAATCTGTTTGTGTTTTAGATTACTTAGTCAATGCACTCATTGCTTCATTGTCTCCAGACGGAAAGCTTCACTAAATGGTAGATTTTACTGTTAAAGACCCTACAATAAGATTGTTTTATCTGTACATTTTTTCATATATTTAACTGTATAAAAAAATGTTCATTTTACACAATATTTAATTAAAGTATTTCTTGTCTGTGAATTTCATTTTTAGTAATTTTATCTGGTTTGATTATTAAAAAAGTGACTAAACACAAAACAAAAAAATGCAACACTGGGGGTGTCATTTCTAAATATCAGAATTCAAAGTTATGTCTTGGTTAAGAAAAAGCACAATCCTTGACGTGGGCTTTCAGTGCCCCAGGATAGCCAGCCCAGGCAGCCCCCGAGAAGGATGACGAGGGAGGAGACCTCTGCTCCGCAGCCTGGCAATGACGTGTTGCTCAGCCTTGGTGAAGTATGTAACCAAAACTGTGCCTTAGACACTCTTTTTGTAAAGTGAAGGTAACAGTAGAGTATTTTTTTTTTCTATTTTAATATGATATTGTAAAAGTCTGTAAACAGGAAAAGTTATTTTAAACACAGCACAACCCAAATTTTCCATGCAGCGGTTTGACACCGAAGGTCGATGTACTCGTCTTTTAAATGCTGATAAGGAAGCAAATGCTTTTGCTAATTATAATACCGAACAAAAATATTTCATCCTCTGGACTGTAGTACGTGCAATGTACATATAATGTACTCGAACTATAAATATACCGAGGTGGGCACGACTCAGCCTCCTAGTCGGAGGGTGGGTTTGTGGGAGACAGTTACGATGCGAAGCCTGAAGTACAGGTCTGAGTTCCCTACCCCAGATGCCAAGTGTGTGCCCACAGCGTTGTGTGACCACAGGCACCAGAAAAAGGGTATTTGTACCGCAGTATGGGTCTGGCTGCATGCACAGCAGGCAGAGCAGCACAAGTGCCTATCCCGGCAAAGCAGGGGAGTTCGTTATGTGCGGTTTATTCTGTCATTACCAGAGGGCTGCTGGCAACTTCGAGAGGGCACTGAGAAACTCCGAGCTCCGAAGTAAATGTATGTACTTGTGTATGTGTATATACTGCCAAATGACATGCCATATGCCTGAGTCTCTCCTTTGTCGCCCCGTGTTTCAGCAGTTAAGTGATGGAGTGTGATGAGAAGGTGCAGCTTACTGTAGTCACAATTTACGAAGACAGAAAAATGGGATATTTAAGTATGTTTCCTTTCTTCTCCAGTAGTTCCATATTTTTTTTGTTTGATAAAAACAGATGTTAAAAATATAGAGCACTTTGGATTATGATGATGATGATGATGATGATGATGATGCATGTTTCATTGTTCCACTTTGAGTATGTATCTGTGTATCATGTTTAAACAACGGCATAATCAGATGCATCCCACTAAAAAATAAGATGGTTTGTAGGGATGAAAATCTGCATGATGCCTACTGGCACTTTTCCTTTTAGGTTGATTTCAAAGGTTTGAATAATGAGCATCGAAATGGTCCATCTAACTTCCAATGCAAAGAAAATACAAAAGAAGAAAACCCATACATTTTGTGCTAGGAATGACAAGTCCTAGAGCAATCCACCACCTACGACACATCCCTACCTGTAACTGGGTAATAGCCCTGGCGAGAAAATATGTTGTGTCAGCCTATAGCGAGTTTAGACATAGGAAGATGATAAAAATTCCTTAATCAAAATGAAGGAATAGAGTCTCTAAAAGTATATGCCAATTATTACAAGAGCAGCTTTTTAAAGTCTTTCAAGCTTTTAAAGATTATTCAAAGCACTTGAAATAGGCTTCAATCTAATGCCTCATTTCATTGCATTAAACAGCCTAGTTAATAAAGAATCAATATATTCAAAGGGCAAGGTTATCTTTTGTCTATAAGGGGTGGTGTCATTCTGAACCTTTTATAGTTCAAATGCTGAAAAAGACCTCATGAAATCCATACTCATCAAGTGGGTCAACTAGAGCAATAAAGAGGCCTCTGAAAGAATGGCTGCACTCCTTTAAAACAACTATAAGTCTTATCTTCCCACATAGTGCTCGCCAGGCTCCACCAGAAAATGTCAATTTCTCATCAAGACAAGAGGCCCAACGATAATTTTTTTCTAGAGAATACACACAATTAGGAGAATGCAGAAAGGCCCCATCAGTGATTTGTAGCTTATTATGTCACCAGCAAGCTGCGATCCACTGCTAAGCAGATAATAAGGGCTGTTGATAACTAAAGTGTCAATATGCCAAAGAACGATTTTTGAATGTGAGCCCTTGTGCTTTTTTTCCCCTCCTTGTGCAGATCGCGGGGCCGATAACAGTGCATCTGCCAACCGACACCGCCTGTTGGACCTCACAATTAATGCCGCGAATAAATAGCACAAAAGAGTTTAGATTCTTTATACTCTTTGAGACAATTCCCTGTTTTACCCTTCAAGGAGTTCTTTTATGTTCGAATAAGGTTGCTTTTAATGAAATTTAAACTCATCAGAGGAAATCAAAACCCTCAAATCAGATTACAAATTGATTTTTTTTGGTCACTTGTCATTATACAATGTACTGCCCTAAGTTTTACAGGAAAAGGAAGAGAAAGCACGCGGTTGGGAGTCAGAGTATGCAATCTCTACAAAAGCATACGAAGGAGGAACGTTCCTAAAGTCCAACAAGTAATAAAATGTTTTAAAAAGTTGGTGTGTATCATTTAAAAAGTGATCATTATCTTTACTTGGATACGTCATAAAATACTAAAGTTTTAAATAAAATGAACTAGACTGGAACTTTAAATTGTATTAATTAAATAATTAAACCCCAGATATCTCTTTTTCTCATATATAATGCTAAATTTAATTGTTACATACAAAAAATCATACTTCTCAGCATTCAGGTCAAAATTAACTGATGGAAGATTTGAGACCTTCAGGTCTGGTACCCACTGGTGACCTTGCTAGTGCAGTTTGGCCAGCTGAAATACGATGCTAGCGATAGAGGCTATATAGTCGTGATTTTTTTGATTTCTTACACATTCAAATAAAGTAACAGTTGTACTGTAATGGTTTTGTTTCCTCTTTATTGACTTTGTACTAGTACTGAAAGGGCATCGTGAAAAAAAGGGTGCAGTTAATTGGTCACAAAACGGTACATTTTTGGTGCCCACAAAGTTTTTAGAGGATTTCAGTTGTTATGTGACTCTTTTTTTGCATTTACCTTGAGATAAATTAAACTGTTTGAGAAACAACTTCGCAACAAAAGGCAGCAACTACCCCCAGAACAGATCAAGTAGGGGTGGCGAGGGTGCAAGGAAATTATCTGAAAGCTACTCTGCTCCAGCCAGGCAAAAATGACATATTGCTTATTGCGTAAAATCTAAAAAAGAAAAATCCAACTAAAAAATAGGAAACTGGGGCTGGAATTGGTCTGGGTAATATGGCCAACAAACTTTAAAGTTGCTCTGTATCTACGATGAAACATAGGCTGGAGGCATCAAGGGGAAGACGGAGAGAAGAAAGGAGAAAGATGTGGAAAAAAAAAACTGTACAATGAAACCCAATAAAGTTGTATTTAATGATATCTGTCTTTGCACTGTGGAATTCTGTTGTGGGAGCAAGTGCTCAGAGACGGCTTTGCCTCTGCGGTGACTCAGTGCCAGCGGGCAGCGCTGTGCTGCAGTGGAGGTGCAGGGTGCTGGAGCTGGGGGCAACACACTGCACCTCAGGGCTGTTTTCCTGGGCGGTTTGGGCTCCGGCCATCACAGCTCAGATCCACAGGTCAGTCCTTGCCAGGTGAAGGACAGCAGTGGGACATGGAGTCACCTCCCAAGCCAGCCTCAGCGCGCTGTGGCACCGGTGACTCCAGCTGGTGGGGTGGGAGGTGCTGGATCACCACAGAGGTTTGCCAAAGGGGTCCCTGTGTACTGGTTCTGCTGCAATCACCACTTTCCTCCATACTACAGCTTGAGTCCCTAGATTTAAAAAAAAAAGAAAAGAAAGAAATAATTGCTGTGGGCTTTGCTCCACAGGCACAGAAGTACTTTGAAACTGTAATAAGTAGAAATAATAATAATAAACAACCTCTAATAACCATCTCACAAGGCTATTTGGGCAGACCAAGTGTAGCAGATGAAAAAAGGAAAATAAAAGTTGAGGAAGGTAGGAGCCACGCCATGGGAGTGGAAAATCATTCCACGGTGCTTCTTCATCTTTCTGGTTTACCAATGTGTCTCATCTTAGGGCAAGTCATGAATCCAACAAACACTGCAATATCCAAAGTATCTCTAAAAGGACTTCCAAGATTTCTCCCCAACTACCCCGTCACTTACTTCATCCCTTAAGACACAGCCTGGACAAATTAGCAAAGGCCGAGCAGTGGGTAGGGACCAGCCAGAGGCTCTGATGGACCAAGGGCTGAAGCCAGGTCCATGGGTGAGGACTATCGACTGCTGTGTCTCTACAAATCACCTGAGCCATGTGACTCAGCAGGTTAAAGGCAGAAAGGGGTGGGCACGGCAACAGTAGGGGCCCAAAACAAAGTGACTTCATAGATTTAGACACTTATTTAAACAAATAAATTCTCTGTGTGAGGAAAACACTGAGCATAAATTAATGTGGAACAAAATTTTCCAAAATGTACCCACAGCATGTAGCGTGGCCTAAAATGGGAACAGCAACTGGGTACATCTTTGGATAAATGCTAGAACAAGACCGTGGGGGCACGGTGTGTCACAGCATGCCCGTGCTATGCAGGCAGAGCAGCTTTGAACGGGCTTAGGGCTTCTCTCCTTCCTGGAAATCAGTGAAACGGAAGTCATAGGTGCTTTGTAAAATAAAGAATTCCTAGTTACCACCTTTCTTTTCAAGTTTTAAGGAAGCTGAAGAGGCACCAATGCTGAAACAAAACCTAGAAGGTCCATACAGCCAATGTCCTGCTCCTGCTGAGGAGGACGAGGAACTTGGTGGTGGAAGAGCTGTAATAAAACCTGTGTCCTCCCGTGTCGAAGATCTTGAAGACAAGTGACTGGATACAAAAATCATTGGTTAAATGACCTGAGGGGAGTAGGAAAGGAAGAAAGTCTGCAGAAAAGGGTAAAACAGAGTTATCAAGAGAACTGGTGTTAGGGCACAGACCTAAAGTTTGTTCTACATCAGAAAACAGGATGGGGTGGAGG